GGCTTTAGCATCTTCGTTTGTATATTGTTACGACCCATCTCCTCTTCAAGACTACTGTGTTGCCACCAACGAAACTAAAGGAGGTAATCTCTCTATTTGTTGAATATATATAGCTTTTAAAACAAATTTGTAAACACAAAGACGAAATACATATATAATTTTGAATATATATAGCTTTTAAAACAAATTTGTAAACACTTTTTGAATATATAAAGCTTTTAAAACAAATTTGTAAACCGCCACATGTAATAAATAACACATGTAAACCACCACATGTAATAAATAACATACATACACACAAATAGGTTTTTTTTTTTTTTTGGTTTTCAATGTTAAAAATAAAAAAAATAAACCTATGTATTGTTTTATACGTAAAGTTTATACATAAGAATAACCCTATATTTTTATGTTATTTGATATGGAAGACGATGTTATGATAAAATGTTAATGTAACTTATTATATAACGTTCAAATTCAAGCCTACATTTCGTCGTTTTTTTTTTTTTTTTTCTTTTCTTGTAGTTTTCGTAAATGGAAGATTCTGCAAAGATCCAAAACTAGTAACATCCAATGATTTCTTTGCTTCTGGACTTAACATCCCGGGAAACACCAGCAACCGCCTTGGCTTCTTTGTCAACCCCGCAAATATCCCTGGTTTCAACACTCTTGGGGTCGCCATCGCCCGCATTGACTTTGCCCCTGGTGGTCAAATCCCACCGCACATACATCCACGCGCCTCCGAGATCCTCCTAGTCATCAAGGGCAAGCTCCTAGTCGGTTTTGTGTCGTCGAACGAGTACAACTACACACTTTTCTCCAAAATTCTTTATCCGGGAGATGTATTTGTTTTCCCCATCGGATTGGTACAATTTCATGCAAACATAGGGAAGAAAAATGCGATTGCGATTGGGGCGGTTGGGAGCCAAAATCCTGGTTTCATCTCGGTAGGTGATGCAGTTTTCGGGTCGAGGCCTTCGATTGATCCAAAGATTTTGTCTAAAGCTTTTGCGTTGGATATCAACATAGTGAGATATCTTCGGACAGTACTGTTTTCTCCTCAAGATGATATCGTTGAATAAGAATGACGATGATAAAATATAATTGTGGGTAAAATAAGTTGATGGTTGTATAATAGATAAAATATCTACTTAAGTGTAAGAAATACACAGATCATAAATTAATGTGTGGGAAATAAATACGTAAGTGGACGTGTAATGTAAATGTACCAGTTTAACGAATAATACACAAATTAATATGGGGCTAAATAAAGAGACTAATGGGCCCTGATAAATGGGCACTATCCAGTAAAAATAT